GGCATTCTGTGTTTCTTTCATTTCAATATGAATTTTAGGATTGAATCAACTTTTCAATTTCTGCAAATAAACCAGCTGAGAAGTTTTTTTAAAAGATTTATTTATTTATGCATATAAGAACTGGGGTACAGGCCAGAGATGTGGGGGGTGAGAGGATTCACCAGAGACAGAGTGGGGAACAGAACAGGCAGATTGACTGAAATACACTGCTGAGGGGAGCAGTGGGTGAGACAGGAGATGTCTGCTGCTCCATGTGGGTATCTCCCTGGCTGGGGATTGAACTCGTGCTGCAATGGCTTCAGATAGCTTCATAGGTTGTGTCTTAACCCCTTGCGCCACCAGGGAGGCCCATCAGCTGAGATTTTGATAGAGGTTGATTTGAATCTCTTAAGTCTGTGCAGGAACTACTGCCATCTTATCTATATTGCCTTCCACTTGTGAAAATGGAATTTATTTACATGTATTAAAGTCTTTTCTTTCTTTCAACAGTGTTTTGTAGTTTCCACTATCTAAATGTTGCTTTTTCTGTTGAATTTATTCCTTTGTATTTTATTTTTCTTGATGCAATTGTAAATGAATCTTTCGTTAATTTTTGGGGAGTTGTTCATTGCTAGAATATGACTTTTGTACATTGATCATGTATCTTTTAACCTTGCTCTCGTCTCTTATTAGTTTTAATAGATTTTTTTAGTGGATATCATAGATTCTCTCTATATGAAATCATGTCAAATGAAATAGAGGTGATTTCACGTCTTCGTTTAGAATCTTTATTTCTCCTGTATAATCAACTTAATTGTAACCTCCAGTAAAATGTTGAAGTACAGAGAACACATATCCTTGACTCCTTCATGATTATCATGACTACTTCATGATTACATTTGGTGTTTTACCTTTAAAAATTATATTCAGTGTGGGTTTTTCAGAGATGATCTTTTCAGGTTTACTGTCTTTTTTTTTTTTTTTTTAATCATGAATCATTGCTGAATCTTTTCATACTCTTTTTTTGTTTCTATTTAGAGCACGTGGTATTTGTCCTTTATTTAATTCATATGGTATATTACACTAATTGTTTTTTGAGTGTTAAGCCAACTTTTCTTCCCTGGGACAAATTCTAGTGATATATAATTTTTTTTTTTTTTTTAATGTTTCTGGATTCAGATTGCTGGTATTTTGTTGAGGATTTTTGTGTCATTCATTAGATGTTACTCTGGTAGTTCTTCAAGTCCTTTTGACAGATTACTGTGTCTGATTTCTTAAAGCACCTGTGTTCCTTTAGATGATACCGTTCCTTTAGACTTTTACTTTAGGCAGTTTTTTTTTAAATAACCTAATGTTAAAATTTATAGAGAGGGCATTAGGATGATTTCACTATAATATTTGTAATGATGAAAACCCTACTTTTTTTACCAGACATTTACGTTTGCTTGAAAAATAACATGTTCCTTTCTGTTTGCTAGATGTATTGTGAAACCTGTTCTTTCCTTCTCTAAATCTTAACCTGAAAGTTGTTAATATAAAAAGCAACCAGCATACGCAGCTTCCAAACATGACATAGTAAGTGGGGGAAGAAATTTATCTGGTTGACCACTGGGTGAACTGTAATTTATAATCCTCTTTGGAATAGAAGCTTTGCTGACTTCACTGGTCTTTCACATTTGTATAAACGTACCTATTCCTATAGTGCCTGGAAGAACAAGTGTTATGCAAAATCATAAGTCTTAATCTTACTTAAAAATTTACAGTAGATGGGTGTGGGGAAACTCTGATATTAAAACAAAGATGATTGTTTTATGGAGAAAAATACAAAATGTATAGGGATGTTTAAAATAAAAGACTTCAAAATATGCAATTCTTTCTGCACAATTTTTAGTCCGACCACCTAAGTTTGAGGGTTTGAATTGTCTTGTTACAAAGATTACATTTAGTGGAAGTTTTTGGAAAATGTTCTGAGGCTTTAAGTAAATGCTGACATTGGTAATTTTTTATGTTAAAACAGGTTATTGCCCTCCTTTTAGATGACTAACGAGCCAACACTGGGAATATCTTCTTATGCAGAGTTTTAATCTTTTTATCCTTGTCAAATATTTCCCTTTCCTGTATTTAGATTCTCGTTTTTTTAATTTGCTATATTCTAAATGAGAGAGAATTAGGTATTTTTATGTTGCTTTGTGGTCTGAGAATGCTTTGATGAAAAATGTAGATCATGATATCAGATCTTTTCTCATACATATGCCTTATGGGAAATATTATTGAATATAAATTAAACAAGAAGACAGATTTTAGAGGGAATATCTAATCTTGATGTGGTTTTATTGGAGGTCCTCTGCATTTAATGGCTGTATTAATATACTTGCTCATATTAACTATGCTAATAGGCCACAAAGAAGCCATGCATATCTTCAGATAAGCCTATAGAAGAAGTGTTGCCCTTTGTGCTTAACACAGCTTGTTAATTTTATAGCCTTCCAGAGTATAATAATTGCTAAAGGGTAGTCTAATCGCAGCGGCATAACAGAAAGGATTTTTTAAAAAACCTATTTAAATAATTTAGCAACAAATTTTTCAAACATATCCCACAAATTAGATTTAGAAGAGTGGTTATTTTTCTGGATAGAACAATTTACGTTTGGGAGAAAGCTCATGGTAGACTCTGGTTTGCTTTTAATGATCCCTAGAGTTTTCAGGGATCTTTAAGTCCAGCAAAGGTAGTTATTGGGGTATGTCTAGATGTACTAACCTTGGCAGGCTCTGGAAATAGTCTCTGTATTTACTTTACAGTTAGGGTAAATTTAACAACCTATTTTTTTGTTGCCATTATTATGAGGACCCTGGAGCATTATTTGTTAAAAAGAAACAAATCTTTGGACCATTCCCTCTATCTGTGTGTGTGTGTGTGTGTGTGTGTGTGTGTGTGTGTGTGTATGCGTGTGTGATTTTTGTGAATGTAATTGAAACTACAGAGAGCTTAGGTTCCTTTTGGATACCCCATAACTTCTTTTTTTTTAAGATTTTATTTGTTTTTATACAAGAACTGGGGTACAGGCCAGATGCACGGGAAGGTGAGAGGATTCACCAGAGACAGAGTGGGGAGCAGAACAGGCAGACTGAAGAAATACACTGCTGAGGGGAGCAGCAAGCAAGACAGGAGAGGTCTGCTTCACCATGTGGGATTCTCGCTGACCAGGATCAAACCTGTGCTGCAGAGGCTGCGGACAGCTTCACAGTGCGGCTCTCAACCACCTTCGCCACCAGGGAGGCCCAGTACCCCATAACTTCTTATTTCTTTACAAATATTCTCCATATTTATAAAGGATATATAAATCTACATAATATATACATAACACAATATTATATTTATAGTATGGTGAAGGAAATTTAAGAACTTGAGCTGAAAAGAGTTTTTAAATTTGTCTAGTCTACCCTTTCTGTACGAGTAAGAGAAATGATGACCAGACAAATAAGCAGACTTTGCCAAAGTCCCCAGCACACATGGTTTGATTTACTCTTTGGGGATTTTCTTGGTCAGGAACAGATTTTGACAAAGATATTTCAGAAACTGGTTGATAGATCAAAACCCAGTATTTTAAATGGTATAAACAATTAATAGTTCAAATGCTTGATAACTTTTGAAAAACTCGAAGGCTGTAGGGGAATTACCATGATAGATGTTAGTGTAAGTGTGCTTGAAAGTAATGACAGGGTAAGGGAAGATTTGGACTTAGATAACCTAATGCCAAAGTCTGAATCTTTTTTATATATTTGTTCATTGTTTAGTTGTTGGGATTCCATGTGATTGTATCATGTTTAGAGATTACTCTCTTAAAAAGAAGGGCCTAATTCCCATTTAGGGCCTAGTAGTATGCCAAATATAATAGTAGGAACTGGGGAAAATGATTTGAATGTCATTATGAGCAAGAAGTACACTACTGTGTGCTATGCTCGTTCTCTTAAATTATTTTAAATTCAATTTACAATTGACTTTTGAACATTAAAAATTCTAATTTTCATTTTGTTATTTTACTGATTTTAATATGTCTACTAGAAGACTAGCAATGAAAGAAAGACTATGAAGTTAATGTTACTCAGAAATATCTCTGGTAGCGTATGAGTCTGGGAAGAAGTAAATTTAAGAGCTCAAGAAAAATGATTTGATTTCCCTATGGATTTCATTTATATACATCATATCTGTGTGACCTTGTAGGATCAATATATTATACTCTCATTAGAGAAATAAGCACCAGTAATAGAGAAATTCAGAGCTAACTTTTCTGCACATAGAGTAACAAGAATATAAGGGTTTTCATTTTAAGACAAGTTTTAATGTTGTTTAATTTTGGGGTTTTTAAAGACTCTTGTATACTTTGCATAGTTAAACATTAATGATGTAACTATTTTTGGTCAGTGTTAACTTTATGTTTTTGGACTGAGAATAATTGTTGCACAAACATTGTATTATGTTAACATCATCTTTCTGTTCAAATTCAGTTATTTACTACTAAGTAGTATAGAATATCAATATCAGGAAAAAGAGTGATAAAATTTCCTACTTATCATATTTAATGACATATTTGTGAGAGATATGTTATTTATTTTATTGACAGGATTTTTAAAAAAGTATGAAGATGATCTAAATCAACATAAATTGATTGTGTTAATCAATTGTGATAATGAAAAAATGATACCTGTTTTAACATCCTGATTTTTAATTTTTCTGTCCAAGATTACAATGGGAACCTATGTCTTGTGTAGGACTGTGTGTAGTTAAGATACTTCTGGTGATTGGAAGTATTTTAATGTAGAAGTTACGTGCATATTTTATTACAAAGGTGTGAAGATTATCTTATAAAAGGTTAATTTAAAAATGAAACATAGGGTATCACTGAAGAACCTGCATAACTCTGATAACTCTGGAGAAATCTAGTTTTGGTAAACTAGCTGTAGGCACATATTTTATTTTATTCTCATAGGCATTTTCTTTTTCATTTTTGTGCTTCTTCCAGAGTAAGTGAGGAAAAGGAAGTTACAGAAGAAAGACTCAAAGCTGAGCAGCAATCATTTGAGAAGAAGATCAGGCAGTTGGAAGAACAGAATGAACTGATCATCAAAGAAAGGGAAGATATCCTTTTTGAAAATCCTCTTAATGTTCAGAAAGTTTGATTTTTCATTAAGAAAATGTAAACTCCAGAAATAATTGTTCTAATTTATAACAGGGAATAAATCTGCATGGGCTGCAATTTGTAGGCAATCAGAATGACACTTAACAGCATGTGCTGTTGCTTCCTTTGTGCTTGATACGGCCATCCAGCTGTTCTGATGCTGCTCTTACACTGTGGAGCGCATATTTGTCAACTAAAAGAGACAAAAAGAAATTTGGGCATTAAAATATAGTGTTGAAACTGTATTAAATTCTGTTCCACTATTGTAATTGAGCTTAAAACCTCTTTTTATGGTATTCTTTCTAGCTAAAGTTTTGAAAGTCATAAAAAGAAAAAAAAACAACATTATGATTTGTACCTGTTGTAACTGATTAAGTGTTCACACTGCAGCTTAAAACCACTAAGCCATTCTCATGGAGGAGAGTACTACTGAGCTTAGAATTAGGGGTGTGTGTGTGTGTGTGTGTGTGTGTGTGTGTGTGTGTGTGTATTTGAGAGAGAGAGTGTGTGTGATTGTACTATAGGGGACATGAAGTTAAAATGAGCATATTACTGAAGTTTCTTTTAAATGTGTAAGATTACTTACCGTGGGTACTTTTGCAATGGCATTGATATGAAAAAGAGAAGTGATTGTTAGAGTGATGGATCTGCCAGCGAAACTAGTATGTAAATGCCTTGAAGGAATTGTCCTTTTTTTTTATATAAAGATTTATTTATGCATGTAAGACCTGGGGTAAAGGCCAGAAGTGCAGGAGATAAGAGGATTCTCCAGTGATAGAGTAGGAAACAGAACAGATGGATTGACTGAAATACAATGCTGAGGGGAGCAGTGAGCGAGACAGGAGAGGTCTGCTGCACCATGTGGGTAGCTCCCTGCCCGTCAGGGGATCGAACTCTTGTTGTAGAGGCTGCAGACAGCTTCACAGTGCTGTACTTAACCTCTTGCACCACAAGGAATTGTTGCCCAAGGAATCGTTGTCCTTATTGTCAATAACATCATTAACTTGATTGTTGAATAATTATTTCAAAGATTGTTCAAGTGTCAAAATGATCTTTGTGAATAACATGGAAATAGACATATGAGATAAGTTGATTGGCTTGAAAGAAAGCACAGTAATACAACTATAAAAAGCAAATTCTGAATTTCAGTTTTTGAAACAGTGGAAGTACTTTATTGGAAATTAATGTAATTAAAACTCTTAGACTTGATTTGCTGAGCAGAACATTCATAAGGCATATGACCCCACCATTCTAAAGAAGTAGTTTTTCTATATCTTTTTAGCATTTGAATGGTCTTGGGATTTCTCTTTTCTTTACCTGTTTGCCTTTAGTGCCCCAGGTTGTCAGCTTTCAGCCTAGACCCTCTTTTGTGATTTTCTTCCTACTAATCTTCTCTCTAGGATGAAGTAGTGCTGTTTAGTCAGAATTCACAACAAACTTGCTCCCCCAATTTTTGTCTTTACTTCTCACAAATATTAGTGGTTTGGGATTCTAGCACTTAAAAAGTTAGATTTGGAATGCTTTTATTGGTAACATAAATTCCCTTTAGAAGTTCTGCATGTACCAAGAACTCTGGGGATAAGTGGCCTCTGACATTAGTTCAGTAGCTTCAGGTTTTTGGTGCTGACATCTCTAGAATTCTCAACTTTTTCTAGTGGTTAGCGAAATCTAGGGTGCAAAATGGTTACTCCAATCCCAGTCATCACATTTGCACAAAGGCAGGAAGAAGGGAGAGGAAGAGTTCCTACCACTTGTAACTCCCGCTTCTTTTTAAAAACACACAATCTTTCTCAAGGCACCCCTATTCCCAGCAGGTTTCACAAGATATTCATTGTCCAGAACTTAATTGCATAGCCATGAGAAGCTGCCAGAGAGCCTGATAAAGTGGGCATGAGCTTGTCTGACTTTCATTATGGAAGGCAGCAAGGGAGAAGAGGATAAAGTTAGTCTCACTATGTATGGTAGCAGAAGTAGGGAAATGGGAATTGCTTTTTAACAGAGGGAGGAAGTGGTGATACCTTGACCTTCCTGGGACAAAAAAATAAGTATGGCAAGTCCTCATTTAACATAATCCGTGTTAAGTGGATTCTTTGAAATTGTGGCTTTACATGAAAGAGGTATAACAAAAGCAAGTGCTAGAAAAGTGGTGTTGTTCACCATGGACTGAGATTCTTTTTTCTTATTAATGTTATAGAAAAATAGGGACACAACATGATATCATTTGAGGACCTGCTTGTATTATGTCTAGTGGAGTTTAGATGAGTTGGGGGAAATAAGATGAGAAAGGGAGGTAATTTTAAAAGCCTGGCCACAGTTAAAGTGGAGCCTTATTTATCTGGTGATCTGTTTTGTTTTTGTTTTTTTTTAAAGATTTATTTATTTTATAGAGAACCAGGGTACAGGCCAGGTTCGAGGGAGGGTGAGAGGACTCACCAGAGTGGGGAACAGAACAGGCAGACTGATGAAATACACTGCTGAGGGCAGCAGCGGGCGAGACAGGAGAGGTGTGCCGCACCTTGTGGGACCCTCGCCGGCTGGCTGGGATTGAATCTGCACTGCAGAGGCTGCAGACAGCTTCACAGCACAGCACTCAACTGCCTGCACCACCAGGGGAGGCCCTATCTGGTGATCTGTTTTAACAAAAATGGTGACTATCTGGAAAAGGAGAATCTAATTTCAGTGAACTGTGTATTTAGCATTCTCTGGGCTAGATTGATTGTATACAGTATTGAATTGATTGTAGTGTGGCCTGAATTCGCCATGACTATGAGAGGCTTCTCCTCTCATAGGAAGGATACCCCGTGGGTGATTGTAGCGATAACACTTTTTCCTGTTTTCCCGATCACTTAGTTCAGGGTCAGCAAATTACTGCCGTCAACCAAATTCAGTAGGATACCTGTTAACTCCAGCCACACACATTCATTTATGTCTATGACTGCTTTTCCGCTCTAGCTTCTAGTTGAATAGTTGCAACAAAGACCCTGTAACCTGGATAGTCTAAGAAATTTACTATCTGGCCCTCTACAAAAAATGATTTGCATTTCCCCTAACCCCTCGTCTATCTTAAAAGACAAAAAAGGAAAGGAAATAAAGTCAGATATGTAGCATAGCTAGACTTTTTTCTCTATGTGTGAAAAGATTTGACTTGAGCATTTATTATTACTGTGAATGAAGACTGAGGTAAATGTTAAACCATTATGAATAAAGTAAAGTGGTTTAATCAATAAATTGGTTTAATATTTTTTGAATCACCAAAAGATCAGTGGTATTTATGGAACTTGTCAAAGGGAGAAAGTGACATCTTTGGTTTTTTATTCAAAGTAGATTGCTTAGGTACAAATTTCCTTTACCTGCATAAACCTGTCAAAGGTTCATAGTGATAATTTTCCTGCATAAACCTATCCAACATTAATATAATTTTACCGCACATAAAACCGTATAAAACTCAGAAACATAAAATTATAATTTAAAACAAAAGATTTTAATCAAATATACATTTATCTAACACACATGAATGATCAGATAATTTCAGATCATTTTTAAGTCTGTTTCTATGTAAAGAAATGTATGAATTTTGATTTTTAGCATTTTACAAATGCGTCATACTAAATTTATGGTGGTTTTGTTTTAAAAACTCTAATAATTTGATTTACTGCTCAATTAAACAGTCCCTTAGTGAAAAAGAGAAAAACTGTTTTACATGTTTGTGTGTAGGTCAGGCTTTTGAAGAATTTGTTCTTATAGTAGATAGAATTTATTACCGAAACTAAAAATTTTGGTAATTTTTATCTTTAAATAATTTATTTCCTGAGACCTAATCTATGTTAATGAATATGCCATTTACAAAGTCAGGCAACCTGGTGAACTTAGTATATTTTTTTTGGTGGGGGTAGGGGTTGACTTATTTTTATTAGTTTTTTTTTTTATTTGAATTTTTTTTTGTTTTTAAACAATATTTGCTTCCCCCACACCCTAAGATTGAGTCCCCATGTGATTTCCTTCCCCAAGGCACCCGTGCACCACAGTCCCCTGTGCTCCTCCCTCCCTCCCTCTGATCCCTCTTCCTCCTCCTCCCCTGCAGTATGTCTCTGATTTGTAATTGTCTGTTTTTGCTTTGTTATGTATTGTACTGTTATTATTTTTTTTTACAATGATGTCTTATTTGGTTCCCCTATATTCCTGTTTTAAGTGAAACCATCTGCTATTTTTCTTTTTCCTTCAGGCTTATTTCACTGAGTATAATTCCTTCTAACTCCATCCACATTGCGTGAATGGCATAAGTTTATCTTTTCTGATTGTTGAATAATATTCCATTGTGTATATATACCACATCTTCTTGATCCAGTCATCTATTTTTGGCCATTTGGGTTGTTTCCAGGTATTACCTATTGTAAATAGTGCTGCAGTAAACATAGGTGTACAGGTGCTCTTTTGAATCAATGTTTTTGTGTCCTTTGGGTAGATCCCTAGTAGTGGAATTGCCGGGTCGTATGGTAGCTCCATTTTTAGTAGACTGAGGAACCTCCAGACAGCTTTCCATAGTGGTTGGACCAGTTTGCACTCCCACCAGCAATGTAGAAGAGTTCCTTTTTCACCACATCCTCGCCAACATTTGTTGTTGCTTGTTTTTTTGATATGTGCCATTCTTACTGGTGTAAGGTGGTATCTCAGTGTGGTTTTGATTTGCAGTTCCCTGATTATAAGGGATGTTGAACATTTTTTCATATGCCTGTTGGCCATTTGAATTTCCTCTTTGGAGAAATGTCTTTGAGTTCTTCTGCCCATTTCTTTTTTTTTTTTTTTTAATAAATTTTATTTTTATATTCCCCATACAATTGCAACCCCCTTATTTTGACCCCAATCCCTCCCCTCCCCACCCCCCACCCCCCATAAAGTGTCTCTGGTTCATAGTTTTTTGTTGATTTTGATTTTCACTTTCTTATAGTTATTCATTTTCCTG